TCTATGTGTAAGATAGAGCTGCCATGTTTCATGGACTTGGTAGAGTGGCCTTGTGTAGTAGATATCCTGTAGGGCCCCGGGGTGCAGCCTCTCCATGCACCCGGGCTAGGCACTCAGCTGCACCTCTGTGTGGGTTGTGTACACTGTCCTGTTGTAGTTGAACCTTGATTACTGTTGGCATCACTGGGAGGGACAAACAGACTTCTTAATATATTGAGTTTGTCCCAAATAATACACCCTTACTTCTCAGGTAGAAATTATTTTTAGGTATGTTCTCATGGATAATTGGTCCAGTTTTATTTAGAATAATAGTCTGTGGTGTGAACAGAACCTACATGTGACTGCTCTGTTAAAGCAAATTAAAGCAAGGCTGCTCAGGGCTGAGCCAACCTGAGCTATCAGAACCTCTCCCACCCAGGCCAGTCTGGCCTTTCGTCCCTGGGATTGTGATCCTGCTCCACGTTGCTATCTACGGACTCCAGGCACACTGATTGAGAGTGTGACTTCATCACGCTCCATTCCCTTCTGATAGTGAGCCATTTAAACCAGATCCAAGGGGTCCCGTTGGGATCCAGATGCTGGCTTTCTGCTGCTGAGGCTGGACTGTCAAATGGATTGGGCTTGCTGCTAGTTCAGGCCTCTTACCCAGTCCCTCCAGTCTAGCCCTGGGGCCCTCATGCTGGGAGTCACGTCTATAGAAGGGCTCCTTATCCATCTACCCATTTGTGGGCAGGGGTACCAGCACATTGCAGGCGTCCAGGATGGAGCCTGCCTCTTCAAGTACCACATAGAGAAGCCCAGGGTGCAGCTCACTGCAGGCAGGTCCAGTGGAGAGCTGCCCAGCACCTTTGCTCAGTCTCACTGATCAGAGAGGAGGAGGAGGAAGGCAAGGAAGAAGAGCAGAAGGCTTATGAACCGTCTTTCTAATACCAGTGATTCCTATTTCATGTGTCAAAGTAGGAATGCTTACAGAGGGGAAGCTGTCTCCATCTGCACCATCTACCATAAAATAGCAGTCTTTCCATTGCCTCTCTCTCCAAATCCCAAATCCAAGGTAATTCTTTGCCATTCCCTGGCCATACCGTGTGGTTGGACTGAAGCCACACCTAGCATGCACATGATATTCCAGGGAGTGGGTGACTCGTTTGATCATCACATGACATCAGACTGGGTCCCTCGGGGCACCCTCCTGGTGGTGAACAACATGTATGGAGGGCGTTGCTGAGCAAAATGTTGCCAACCATATGTTTGTACAGGTGACGTAAACCTAAACACAGGGTTTGGCAGCTGATCGGAAAACTGCTCAGTGGAGCACTGTCATCATGACAGGGCAGGGCTATGGTCTCTCTTGGCACAGTTCCTCCTGGTTTTGCAAAAGTTCATTGTTATCTGTGAGGAGAATGCAGATTTTTATTATATCAAATATTTAAACAACACGGATAGCTGTTGAGTGCTTACTCTGTGCCAGGCCTGAGATGAACATCTGAGGGGTCTTGGTGACCTCAAACTCAGGTTTGGTCACCATTGCAACACAGGGAGGGTAGCGTTGTGAGAAGAGGAGTCAGAGAGACGTGGACTTAGACCGTAACTCCACAGCCTCCTTGACTTTGTTCAGCCTGCTTGTGCTTTGACAACTAAAAGACACATGCATACGCAAGTATGTACACAAATGTGTATATGTATACACTTAGCAGCACCGTGGCTGGTGTGTAGACAGCACTCAGGAAGCATGGACCCAGTTTTGGTCATGGAAGTCTGAGTTCCATGTCATTCAGGGAGGGATCAGGTGTGACTCTGTCAGAACACACAAGGCACTAGTAATGACCTCTCAAGCTCAGGTTCTCGGGAAGCCCATAGGTGTGCCTCGGGTCACTGTGGGGATTCAGACGCTGCGCCTTCAACCATAACGGCTCTACTTTGATCTGCTTTACCCAGATAGAAGGTGTGGGAGGGTCGCTGTATGCATGTCTCCCTTTCAGTGCTTCTCAGCGGGGGGCGATCTTGCCCCTGAGGGGACATGTGACAATGTCTGGAGACATTTCTGGTTGTCACAACCTGTGTGTAGGGAAGTGGAGATTGCTACTGACATCTAATGGGCCAAGGCCAGACATGCTGCTAAACTCCCTACAGTGCACAGGACAGCGCCACAGCAAAGAATGATCCAGCCCCAAACGTCAGTAATGGCAGGGTTGGAGAAACCCTGGTGCATATGCAGGTATTTGGAGGGGACAGGAAGATTCTGTGTACCACTTTCATTTGGTTGTCTAGGAACATAAACAGGGTTATAATAGTGCATCTGGAAAGAAACGCCTGGTTGGTTAGAAGTCCCTTAGGAATGGTGGACCTGAGTCAGTTGCACCCAAGGACGAAAGGAGAACAGTCTGCAGAGGGGAGGCACCGTCCACGTAGATGAGATGTCACAGGGAACTCAGTGTGGCCAGTGTGAAGCAGTTCTTTCTGGGATTAGAGCTGTCCAGCTGGGAGCACACTGCTGGAGAGAGGCGTGCAGCCCAGCATGGAAGTAGGATCTGAACTGATTCCAGGATATCAATAAAATGGCCGATGCTGAAAAACCGAATTTTAAAAATTCAAATCATGTTCAAGTCGTATTCATTGGCGTAAGTGATCACATTACTAGGTGGCCCTCAGCCTGGTATTGATTGAGAGAAGGTGTTCTGGGCACTCGGAGCTGGCCTTTTTAGCGTGAGAACATCACTGGAAAACTGGTCTGCATGTTACCCAATCCGCATACCACCTGAGGATTATTTCACAGCTCAAGATCAAGTTTAATATTGACCTGATTATACATTTTTCTTATCATCAAGATTCAGTTAGGTAACTCTTAGAGCCTCTGGTGAGAAATTGGCCTTTAATATTAGACTGGGTTATTTTTATTGCTGTTCATATAGATCAAAAACAGTTGAATATTAGCAATTTCATGTCTTTCAACCTGCTACAGGATTGGGTGACAATTTATAATTTACGTGCATGTTACTTACTTTATGTTCTTCCTAAAGGAACTCTATAAATGCCGCATCCCTGTGCGAACTTCTGGGTAAACTCGGCATCTAAAGTTAGGCTGTTACCTATATCATCAACATCCAGCACTCACCAGGAGCCGGGGCTAGGCCAGTGCACCTGTGACGGACCTTCTTTCACAAAACATAAGACAAGCTTCTGTGTTTTATTTTTAATCCTCACCTGAGGAGATGTGATTTTTAAATTGGTTTGGAAGAGAAAGGAAGGGAGAGAGAGAGAAATATTGATCAGTTACCTCCCCGACATGCCCCGACCAGTGAGCAAACCTCACAGCCTTTTGGTGTAAGGGAAGACACTCCAACCCACTGAACCACCCGGTCAGGGCACAATCTCCTGTATTATTTTTTTTTATTTTAAAATTTTTTTTTCTTTATTGGTTTTAGAGAGAGAGAGAGGAAGGGAGAGGGAGAGAGAGATAGAAACATCAATGAGAGAGAACATCGATTGGCTGCCTCCCGCATGCCCCCCACTGGAGATTTGACCCACAACCTGGGCATGTGCCCTGACTGGGAATTGAACCAGTGACCTCTTGGTGCATGGGTCGATGCTCAACCTCTGAGCCACACCAGCTAGGCAAGCTCCCGTATTCTAACAAAGCAGTGTTTCCCTGGATGGAAACGGGCTTGTCCTCACTTTTTTCATCTTCCTAGTAGCAGGAGAGATTCTTTTAAACCTGAAGACCCAAAAAGGAAGGGACAGTGTTTTAGGAAGCACAGTTGGTGATGCCATGTCCTAATTTCACTTAACTTTGATGACAACGTGAAGATAGAGTGTTAGGCATTTTTCCGCCGCCTCTTTTTAGGTAGACACCAGAGCTGGATCTGGCTTTAGGACCTGGCAGTGGCCAAGCGGCTCCTTTTTTCTATGATAGCAAAATACATGTTACGTAAAATTGACTACCTTAACCATTTTTTTTATTTTTATCCTCACCCGAGGACATTTTTCCATTTTTTGTACAGATAGAGTGGGAGGGAGAGAGAGGAAGAGAGAGAGGGGGAAACATCGATGTGAAAGGGACACATCGAGTGGCTGCCACCCGCACGACCAGCCAGGGCCGGGGACAAACTGCAACCGAGGTACGTGCCCTTAGCGGGAACCGAACCCGGGTCTCTCCGGACTGCAGGCGGATGCTCCAACCACTGAGCCAAACCGGCCAGGGCTACCTTAACCATTTTTAAGTGTTATAAAAAGGCATGCCTTCTCCCAGCCCCAACCCTTGACGGGCTTTGTTCCTCAGCATTTATTTTATTATTATTTTTTATATAGATTAATTGCTTTTATTTTATTTTATTATTTTTTTTGTTACAGATGTTTCTCCTTTTTTACCCCATTGACACCCTCCTCCCCATCCCCCCAACCCCATCCCCGGCTTTGTTGTCCATGTCCATCGGTTATGTGTACATGCATATAAGTTCTGTGGTTTATCTCTCCCCTCCCCCCCCACCCTCTCTTCTCAGGGTTATCAGTCTGTACCCTACTTCCACGTCTCTGGGTCTACCCTATTCCTCAGACTGTTATGCTCATTATAGTCCACAAATAAGTGAGATTATGTGGTATTTGTCCTTTTCTGCTTGGCTTGTTTCACTCAGGATAATACTTTCCAGGTCTCTCCATGTGGTCTCAAAGGATAAGAGATCTTTCTTTCTGGTGTCTGTCTAAAAAGACGTGGCGGAAAAATGCCTAACACTCTATCTTCACATTGTCATCAAAGTTAAGTGAAATTAGGACATAGCACCACCAACTGTGCTTTCTAAAACATCGTCCCTTCCACCCAGGACATCTTAGAGATAACATGTTCCCGTTAGGGTTGTCATGTGTCAGGGACTTTCGAGTGTGTGCCAAGCCTTACATTCTCCTTGAAGGATGAAATTGTTCAACTTTTTGGAACCAAGTGTCTTAGGAACAGAGAGTTCTGTGCTCAGGCACGGGAGTTACCTTCTGGCGTGTTTTTGGTTTTCCAGGGCTACTCCGAAAGGGTTTCCACTGTCTCCAAAGATTGTGAATCTGCCACATCCCGAGTCATTCGTGAAGTACCGCTTAGATGCATTTTCCAACCAGGAAACACCCAAGAAGAAAGCAGACAAAGAAAAAAGCAACAAGGAAAGGGAAGGAGCCCTGGCTGAGTGGGAAGGTTCGGAGAAGCACGTGGTAGACAAGCATGTCACCGAGAAGCACGTGGCTGCAGGAGGGAAGGGCGAGAGCATCGTCGGTAGGTCCTCCTTGCTGACACCTCCGCAGCCTCCGCTGTCTCAGCCGGTTCACGCTCTGACCTCATCCACGATCCATGTGGGAGTCTCATGTTTGGGGGAGAGAGGGAGGAGGGGATTTTCCCTTAGACAGCTGCACACCCTGTGCTCTCTCAGGTTTGCACATTGCCCCTCGGTCTCCTGAGGGTCCCCTGCTGCATCGGGCTGGTGTCAGCACTTCCCACAGAGGGGCTCTTCTTTTGGTCCTATCAGCTGCTGTGATGAACGCAGCGAGTTCACCCAGATGGGCACATCAGTGGTGGTGGCTGCTGTGGGACTTGCTAGCGACCCTGTCTCTCCTCCTCGCCTTTCCACTGCCTTCTACTGTGAAATGCATTCGACCACAGCCGCCCATTGCAGCATCTCTGCTCAGTGCCTGACTGTGCCAGTCCTGCAGCATTTCCCATCCCCCACTGGGTAGGGACGTAAGGTTGCAAGCGGCAGCTGCTATGTGAGTATGATCACTATTTCATTTCCCTCGATCTTTTCCTCTGATGCAACCTCAGGGAAGCCCACAGCAGGCACCACCAATGCAGGGGAGGCTGCGAAAATCCTGGCCGAAAAGAGACGCCAGGCTCGACTGCAAAAGGAGCAGGAAAGGCTGGAGAAGATCGAGCAAGACAGGTATGGGGATGCTCAGAGTTTTGCCGCGAGCTCACGGAGAAGGCTGTGGTAGAAAGAGCAACTCGCCTTTCTTTCTAGAGTTTGGGAATTGATAAAGCCTCGGCAGAAGTATAGGTCTGCCTAGCAGGTGTCCAGGAGACTGCACCTTTTATTAGATGTCATTAACAGCAATGAACTTTGGTCTTTTCAGACGACCTAGAAAGTAATACTCCTGGATCTAAAGGTTACCAACAGCTTCCCATTCTCCTCTTGGACTCTAGGACCAGCCAGGCCTCGTAGAGCTGTCAAAGGAGTTTGAGCTTTGTTTATAGAACGAGGTTCTCCCTGAAAAGACAGGAGGTTCTGGATGTGGGGTTTTGATTGTGCTTCCTGAATCGTGTTTTTCCCCAATTATCCTAACTCCCACCCCCAAGTGAGAGATAGGAGGGTTGAGCGAGGCCCCTGGATGAGGTGGAAGCTGACCTCATAGTCCACAAGATCTGAGGTATGGGGACTCAGATCTGGTCCCTAAACTTTGGAGGGTGTCCAAATCATCCCAGAAAGGCAATGAAAACACACAGGCCCAGGCCCTGTCCTGCCTCAACAGCTCGCCAAAGTTTTCATCATCAGTACTGGGCACTTGGTCAAAATATAGACGGCCTGGCTTTTCTGATCTTGGTATTCAGAAAGGAATGTATGTTGAAGGGCAAGGTATATTTGATATCCAAATTGATAAAGGAAGCTTTTAGGATAATCACAGAGTGCAATCCAACACTATTTAGAGAATTAACAGGACAGGAAGCAGCCCTTCAGGACCGGCACTGAATTGCAAGTAATAAATAATAGAGTAGTATTCTCCATCCTGAAGTGACCTTGACAAGTCTTTGGTGCTCTCTGATTACAAGTTTGGTGATTTGTTGTTGTTTTTTTTTTAAAGTTGAGGTGTTGGGAGGTGGCTGTGTCCTTTGAAATTACGGACTTCTCTGATGATTGTCCCACCTCCAGCAGCAGGCCTGTTTGCTGAGTGGTGTGCTTGGGCTGCTTTGGGTGGGCCACCGGGTGTGTGAAGGGAGGTCACAGGAGATGAATGAAGATGCATCACAGGACCTCACATGACAGGCCTTGGTAATTGTAGGCCCTGAGCAGGTGAGTAACACGACTGTAGTTGTGTGCTGAGGAAAGTGAAGGTCTTTACCTTCCAGCGACTGCCCTCTCTCGCATTTTCTTCCCAGCTCAGCTCCTGAAAGAATTGATTGTACTTCCCTGTCTGTTTCCTCAACTCACATTCAATCCTCTTACCTCACACTCACCATTCCTCCCAGCTGCCAGACGCCTAAGCCCTTTCTTTGTTGGCTTTCACCTTGTCCAGCTTGCCCTGGCTTCTCTGGCCTCTCCTCGGGCTCCCTCTGTCCACCCCTCTTCCCCTCACGTGTCGCCTGGGCTCCTAGCCCTCAGTCCTTGGCCCGCTTCACCTGACAAGTCCTCCTGCTCTGCCAGCGTCCCTGTCCCGCTGCCAGCTTGTCCAGCTTCACAAGATTTGGGGCTCACATTTCACGCCATGGTTTCATAGTGGGCATTTGGTGTGCTAAACCAACTCTGCCCTCATCTCCCTTTCTACCCTCATTTTCCCTTTGTATCTGTTTCTGAAGCGCATTTCTTCTTACTTTGCGAAGCTTCGGTACTTTCTGGTACCAGAAAGGCACTACGTGACACATGCATAGTGCTGACTCCTGCATCTGTTCCTGTCTCCTGGTCCCTCACTAGGGCTGCACTATCCACTATTATAGCCTCTAGTTCCACGTGGTACCGAAATGGGAATTCACTACAATTAAGTGAACTTCAGTCCCTCAGCCACATTGCAAGCGCACAACAGCTATGGCTAGTAGCTACCATGGACAGCGCAAATCTGTAGCTCGTTTCCCTTCTCGTAGTGCGTCCTACGGAATAGCACTTACGAGACCTTATTTCCAGCTGCCATATACTTTCATTTGAGTGTGTGCCATGCGCACCTCAAACCAAGCATGTCAAAGCAGAATGTATTATCTTTCTCTCGAACTTCCTTTTTTCTTTCACAAGCTGTGTGCCCCCCATTTCCCCAGGCACCCAAATCAGAAGTCTCAGCCAGCTCTCAACTCTCCCCTCCTGTTCCTCCTCGGCGCCCCATCAGTTGCCAGGTCCATCCAGGCTGCCTCTTTAGCATCTCTCCCCTCTCCCTTCCCCTCCAGCCCGTCCTCTCCTCTGAGCTCTGACCCCTGTTGTCTCTCACCTGGACTGTGTCAGTGACATCGCAGCTGAGCTCCCTGCCCTAGGTCTCCTAGAGTTTGTCCGCTGTTCACACTGTGTCCCCAGTGACTATTCACATATAAGTGTCATTGTCACGCTACCATTCTTTAACAAGCCAGCGACTCCCCTGCCCACAAGATCCATCTAAACCCTTCAACAGGCCTTCAAGGCTGGACATGACCTGGCCACCACCTGCCTTTCCACCTCCAGCATTCCAGACACCGGCGTGCAGAGTTCCCCGACAGGACCCCACCACGCGATTCCACGCCTCCACTTTTCCTCTGTGCCACATGGACTCATACTCCTCACCACACACATCTTTTCTCCAGACTCAGGTCAAGCCTAGCTCGCTGTCTGCAGTCTTTCTGGCCCTGCATCTGGGAGAGAACTGACGTCTCCCCCGTTCTCCCTTTCCCCCTTCCTGAGCTCAGCTGTTCTGCTGACTGGCACAGCCCCGTCTGTTCACTGGCCCTCGTCCCCCATGCAAGGGCCTTAAAAGGCTGGGATACAGTCCTTGGATCACTGACACTGGTGCTCATTACATGTACAAGGGAGGCAGAGAATGAAGAGGCCCAGCTAAGACACCACTACAGTCATGGGCTAAGAGAAGGCAAAGATGAATGCAGTTTGGTGAAGGTAGACCTGGAAAAGGGAGGGTCAGTTCATGGCAGGTGGCCCAGCTGACATCTGCGGACTCGTGCAACCCAACAGAAACGGGCCGATTCAAAGTCAATGCTGAGGTTGGAGTCCAAGGACTTAGGGAAATGATATACCCAATCACTGATAAAGGAAGGACAGAGGGAATTAGTTTCAGAAGGTAAAAAACTATTCATTTGATTTTAGATAGAGTTGAAAGGGCCTACAAAATGTTCAGGTGATTGGAAATGGAGTTGATACCTGGGGCCTAAATAAAAATGAGAGTAATACTCTTGACCCAAAACCAGTTTTCCTCTCTCTTGCCAGAATGTGAAGCTTTGCCTAGCACCACGTGGGAGGTGAGACAGTACCAGACAACCTGGGGCTGGAACACAGCGGATATCACTTGGAATAAGATCACCCCACATCTTTTGTGTGCTTAGAGGCAGTAGTTGAAGCCACAGACATGCAGTTGCCAAGTAAAAACATGAGAGGAAAATAAAGGTCCTTGATCCAAACCGTGGAAAGCCCATTATTGTCACAAACTGAAGAGAGAAATGCCGTCAGGCATGACACTATTCAGAACAGAGGGACTGACAAGAGTCCAAATAGCTGGGGCCCAGGAAGAAGAGCAAAAGCTGGCCCAGTGCCCTCTAGCAGTGACATCAGGGCTGTCACAGATGCACACAGAGCAGGGCACAGCCCCTGGCCTAGTGGGCGACCCAAGATGTAAATCAGAACTCTTGGGAGTCCGGGCAAGGAAGCCTGGAGCCCAGGTCCACCCTGGGGAAGGCACTGGCAGAAGCCAGCAAGCCAGAGATCTTCCTGTGATTCCAAAATGGGGCCCAGTAAGTCACATTCAGAAGCTGAAGTAGCTGCCAGGTGCCCACGCAGAAAGACGTTCAAGTTAACCCCCGTGAGCAAGATCACAGTGTCCACACAAGAGGTCCTCCTTTTGCTCAGATCTCGAGCCTCACTGGCTGAGCCTCCGTGGTTAGCTGTCGAGGCGAGAGATGGGGCAGGTGGAGCCCATCCGACACGGGGCGGCGGCAGCCAAGGCAGGACGGGAGAACCTCATGCGCACAGGGCTGGGGAGAGGTCCTCACGGGAGAGACATTTAACGCTGTCTGTACCTGCAAGATAGGTCGAGGCTGAGGAAAGGCGGTTGGTCTTGACTTTTAAGAGATGAACCGAGGTTTTAGAGGGAAATTGTGGAGACCTAAGCCAGCTTGGAAGAGGGGAGGGGGAGGAGGTCCTGAACTGTCAGCTGGATGTTAAGAGGCTGTGAGTGAGGAAGGGGAGAGTAGCTTGGGATGCCTGAGACCTGAGTGTTTTTCCAGGCCATGGCGGGGTATGTGTGCAAGGGTGAAACCATGGACGGAAGTCACGGGAGAGTGTGTATTAACAGCACGAGTGGTGGCACTTACCATCCTTTGCCTCTAAGCAGAAGAAGAAAGGGGAAATTTCTGAGCAGCAGTGCAATAGACAAAAGATTAGGAAACTCAGATCAGGTAGCCGCAGGCTTCTCTGTAAAGTGGTTGGTGATGCCATCAACAAAGGAGGATGTTGAAGACTGAAACAAGGTAGAGATTTGAATGGTTTCCACATGGATCAGGGGCAGGGATGGAGCAAAAAGGTTGGAGTGGTAGCCGAGGCCCAGGCACAGATGACCAGTCACCCTTGTTTGGGCCTTACTCTAACCAGTGTTAGCAGCTCAGGAGGGCACAAGGGGTCCTGGGGGCCACCTAAGCCTGGAGGTGGGCAGCAGAACGGGCTCCTTGCTGTCCTGGAAGTGCTCGGGGGATCGGAGGCCTGGGGCACAGAGGAGAGGGAAGAGACACAAGTGACTGCACGGTGCTACCCAAGGCAGGTCAGCAGAGACGGTGGTGAAGGAGAGCGTGAGAGCAGATCACAGAAGGTGGGATTTAGGATGTTAAAGGTTAATCTTGGTCAGTGAGGACATGAGGAGGAGGCAGTAGTGGAACCCACATACTTGTCCACAGACTGAACAGTTCAAGGCTGAGCACGTCAGGGATGTGGTATAAGCGAAAGGGCGGGACCAGAGGCAGTGAAGTGCTGGAGGTTGCAAGTGAGTCAACAAAGACCCTCACCAGTGGCCGGTGATGGGGATGAGCGTACATCTGAAGGATGACCACATTGCACAGTTTTCTGGTACTTTCTACCTGGTGAGGAAGCGGGACGAGTTTGGGTAGGTGACAGGAACAATGACAGAGAGGGCAACAGAACTGTACACGGATCCAGTGAACTCTGGAGGGAACTGGGTATTGATGACAGCCAGTGGGGTGTGGGCAGCCTGCAGAAGAGGGGAAATGACCAAAGCCATGTTCTCTCCGGTTCATCCTCGGAGAGTATATTGAGGGGAAGAATTTCTGTTGTGGATGATTGCGGAGACTTAGGAGTCAAGAGATTATGTTATTTACTCCGTGTGTGTGTGTGTGTGTGTGTGTGTACGTGTACGTGTGTACGTGTACGTGTGTACGTGTACGTGTACTGGGCACTTCTGAAGTTTTCATGGAATTTCAGGTCCTGAAGATAAAAAGAAAGGCGAAGAACTTGGGCATTTATTCACACACAACAGATCCTTCATGTATTAACTTGTCTGGGACAGTCACAACCGCCTCCTTAAAGAGATGAGAACTGAAACAGTGCTCCGCTTAACCTCTGGATAAACCTTGTTCTCTATATCCATTTGTGAGAATCCTGTGTTGGCTACACTTAGTCTGGTATTGAGGAATCTAAGAACTGGATGGTTTTTTTCTGATTAGGCCCCATAATGCTCTTCTCCAGAGATTTCCAGATTGTCCGTTAATAATTTCAGTTGTTGCAGCAATGCGTTTGGGCAGTGCAACCTCCGCGATGTAGAATATGTGTGTCGTGTACAGTTACAGTCTTAGGCTAGATGGTGTCTTTAAGTATTTTTTTACCTTTTAAAATGCCTCTTTTGTGACAAATAGGCTAATTGTCTCCATGATTCCTGAAACCAACCATTAGGATAGAAGGATCTTTTTAAGTCTTGATCTTTTTCTTTTTTTTTTTAAATCCTCACCTGAGGATATATTTTCATTTATCTTCAGAGTGTGAGGGGGGAGAAAGAGAGAGAAACATCAATGTGAGAGAGACATCGATGTGAGAGAGAGACATCGATCGATTGGTTGCCTCCCGCATGACCCCAACCAGGGCCGGGGACAAACCGCAACTGAGGTACTTGCTCTTGACTGGAATCGAACTCGCGACTCCTTGGTCTGCGGACTGACGCTCTAACCACTGAGCCAAACCGGCCAAGGCTAAGTCTTGATCTTTTTATAACAATATAACAGCATCCAGTAAATCAGTAACACATGCCTCCAAATAAAGGTAATTTCTGAAAAACGTTATTTTATAGGTGCTCTTAAAAGGACATTGGGAGTTGGAGAGAGGATTCATTTTAAATTATAAGACAAACTAGCATTTGGGAATCTACCCAGAGTCAGGCACTGTGCGAAGTGCTCCCCATGCGTTATCTCATTTCATTCTCACAGTGATAGAGCCAATAACATAGCTGTTCCCATTTTGTAAATGGGCATCAGAAATGTGCAGTCACTTTGCAAGGAAGGGTCACACGGTGAGTGGTACAATCACAATGCAGTCTTGGTCTTGTCCGTATGTCACATTGCCAGTCAGGAACACACTGCATGGTGAGTATGGTTATTCATGTTTTTTCATAGGTCAGGAAAGTGATGCACAGGTGAGCAAACACATTAGAAATGTAAAAACAAGCACTTACATGTTACAGAATTTTCCCTCACTGCCCTCATCACATCACCAGCTATTCATCTGTGGATGAAAAATGTCCAAATGGCCCTGGCTGGCTTGGCTCAGTGGTTAGAGCATTGGCCTGTGGACTGAAGGGTTATGGGTTCGATCCTTGGCCCCAGTCAGGGTCATGCAGGGGGCAACCAATTGATGTGTCTCTCTCACATTGATGTTTCCTCTTTCCCTCCTCCCTCCCTTCCACTTTCTCTAAAAATCAGTGGAAAAATAGCCTCGGGTAAGGATTAACAAAAAAGAAAGAAAGAAAGAAAAATGTTCCACTGCCTTTTAATCTTATACAGCAAAGAATAAAAGCTAAAACAGATTGTTACAGATTTCCAAAATAAATGGAAAATAGGTACGATAATTTCTGTATTAAATGTCAAGTTTCTTTTGAACCGCTTCAGAAGTCATATACCAATTAAAACCCGGAGTGAAATTTTTGAGTCCATAGTCACTGCTCCAAATTGCTGACTGGCACAGTTTTGGCCACTGAGACACTTAGGGTGTTCTAGCCTAAGTTGGTTTTAAATACTTATTTTACTTAGTGTTCTAAAGAATTGTCATTAAATAAGAACGACAGGGCTGTGGTCATTGGTCATCTGTAGATTGACTGGAGAACATCTGTGTCTACATTACAGTATGTTCACAAATCAATATCATCATTACTCTTTACAACAGAATTTAAAGTCAACCCTGCTTAATTTTTTTTCTGTAAGTATATGAGCTGGAGTGGCTTTCCGGGAAGGATGAGTCATTTTCTTAAGTGAATACTATATTTTTTTGTTGTTAATCCTCACCTGAGGATAGTTTTACCATCGATTTTTTTTCTCGTAGAGAGAGTAGAAGGGAGGGAGACTGGGAGAAAGAGAGAAGCATCAATGTGAAACAAGCATATTGATTGGTTGCCTCCCGCATGACTCCCACCGGAGCCAGGGATCGAACCTGCAACCCAGGTACGAGCCCTTGACTGGGAGTCAAACCCACAACTCTTCTGTGCACAGGCCGACACTCCAACCACTGAGCCAAACCGGCCAGGGCTAAGTGGATACTAATTCAAGTGCATGTGTCTGTGACTGTGTCATGCATTATAGGCCTGTGGACACACGGTCCTTTGGCAGTCTGTCTTTTGAGCATGTCCTTGTCTTCTAACGACAGTTATGTTCTCAAAAGGCTGGAGAGAGAGGAACTGGAAAGAAAGGCAGAGGAGGAAAGACTTCGCCAAGAAGAGGAAGCCCGTAAGCAGGAAGAGGAAAAGAAGCGGCAGGACGAGGAGAAGAAGCGGCAAGAAGAGGAGAAGAAGCGGCAGGAAGAAGAAAAGAAAAGACTGGAGGAAGAGGAGGCCAAGAGGAAGGCCAAGGAGGAGCTGCTGTTGAAAGAAGAGCAAGAAAAGGAAAAACAAGAAAAAGAAAAGCAAGAAAAGGCCATGATTGAAAAGCAGGTACTGTATGAGTTTTCATATAGACTTTCCTTCAGGGCCTTAGTTAACATTGGGTAAAATTAGTTAAATTTGAATGACTCGTAATATTTATTTGAAGTATTTTCTTCTTTTTTTGTTAATCCTCGCCCAAGGATATTTTTGCATTTATTTATTTATTGTTTTAGAAGGGACAGGAGGTGAGGGGAGAGAGAGAGAGAGAGAGAGAGAGAGAGAGAGGAAGAGAGAGAAGCATCAATGTGAGAGACACATTGATTGGTTGCGTCCCGGACGTGCCCCAACCGAGGCCGAGGATTGAACCTGTGACCCTCTGGTGCTTGAGCCAACTCTCTAACCACTAAGCCACACCAGCCGGGGCTTGAAGTATTTTCTTAAGCCAACTGGGCTGGGCCCTGGCCGGTTTGGCTCAGCGGTTAGAGTGTCGGCCTGCGGTCCTGAGAGACCCGGGTTCGGTTCCCACTAAGGGCACGTACCTCGGTTGCAGTTTGTCCCCGGCCCTGGTCGGTTGTGCGGGTGGCAGCCACTCGATGTGTTCCTTTCACGTCGATGTTTCTCTCTCTCTCTGTTCCTCTCTCTCCCTACCACTCTACCTGAACAAAAAATGGAAAAATGTCCTCGGGTGAAGATAAAAAATAAAATAAAATAAAATTAAGCCAACTGGGCTGGTTATTAAATATGAGTTGCTTTGGGCAATGAAAGTGAACTTTGTAATGTTTGCTGTATGTTGGTTTGGGTTCCCCCGGTGACGGACCCTGGATGAGAACTTGCATGGCAGTATTTGATTCAGGAGAGCATCCCAGGAAGCTGGTAGGGGAGTGAGGGTAAAGCCAATGTGAGTGCATTGATGAGTGGATTACTGTGGGCAATTGGAACTCACTCCCTTTGGAACTATCTAAGAAACTGTGGAACATGCCTTAGAATTGTCCCTCTACAGGGCAAGGAGACTGGGTTATTTATCCACCAACTCCTTGGGAAATTAATTTCCTGAAACTCCTGGCCACATACACAGTTCATGGCCAGAGCTGCCATCAGACACAGAAAGACCTTGACCATGTACGGGAACTGTTGCATGGTGGACCAAGGGTAGATGATGAAGCCCAGCCAGTCTGCTGTGTCTTAGAGCTGGCTGTGTAAATCCACACTGAATGTTGGAGCGGCACCCACTTTGGGGTAGATGATGAGGTCAAGGAACATATGAAAACTCCAGGGAATTACTGTATTGATTTTGTTTTAGCTTAGTAAAGCCTATGCCTTTGTTTACCTGTTCGTATCAGAAGGAAGCAGCAGAAGCCAAGGCTCAGGAGGCAGCTCAACAGATGCGTCTAGAAAGAGAGCAGATCATGCTGCAGATTGAACAGGAGCGACTGGAGAGGAAGAAGGTAAGGGCTAAGGGATTAGGAGGACTGAGGGTAAGGCAGGAACAGGAAGCGAATCCAGTTCTCTTTTGCAATTGTTGGGTAGAGTGATCTTAGAATTGTCAAATTAGGTCAGGTTCACTGATAGTGCTGTTTAGATCTTCTATATCTTTATTAGTTTTCTATCAGTTATTGAGAGAGGAGTGTTAAAAGCTCCATTTGTGATTATGAATTTGTCCATTTCTCCTTCCAGTTCTATCATCTTTTAAGTTGTTTTATATGTTTTGAAGCCCTGCTGTTAGGTGAATATATATTTCAAATGACTTAATTTTCCTTTGAGTTGACATCTTTATCATTAGAAATGTCCTACTTTATCTCTAGTAATACTTGTCTTAAAGTCCACTTCATCAGTCTTTTTATGATTGGCATTTGCATAGTAAATATTTTTCTGACCTTTCACTTTGAACCTATGTGTGTCCTTATAAGTATATCTCTTGTAAACAGCATATAGTCAGGACTTGTTATTTTAAGCCAGTTTGACCGTCTTTGCCTTTAAACTGGAGTGTTTAGTCTATTTACATTTAATGCAATTATGGATAAAGTTGGGTTTAAGGAGGCTGGTTGTAAAGGTCCATTTTCATAGCGTCCTAGCTCTAGCCTGGGCTTTGTGTTGCTGTAGGCTTGGGAGCCAGGGACTGGCCTCCCCTCCCGACTTGCATCTCAGCCTCACTTTCTCTAGGGTGGTCCTCTGGAATGGCAGGTGGTAGTTAACTGATTTTTACGTAACATGAGGAGAGGAAGGAGAAAGATGAGCTAGACATGAAATGTTGATTCTAGATACCTACTAGTTCACTTTTCAAACAGTTGACCTTGTTCATAGGGCAAAGGTGTACATCCGCAGAACCAATGGAAACCCTTTCTGTACTCACTATCTATCTTCTGCTGCTGTTTTCTCTCTCGTGAGTTTTCTGAGAAATGTGAAATTGCATATAGACCCAGCTACGTTGATGTGGTTTTGGTCTTATATTCCTCTGACCTGGTTCTTTTTGGTTTCCAGAGAATAGATGAAATCATGAAGAGAACGAGGAGGAGTGATGTGTCTCCGGAAGTGAAGGTAGGCATTTGGAACACCGTTTTAATAGTTCACGTGCCGAGTGGCAGAATGCATTCAGTGGAGTCGTGGATCTCAGAGGAGCAGCCAGACAAAATGGACCCTTCCTGCTTTGTTCCTGGCTAGATGAAGGAAGCTGCAGGTGCCTGAAAAGAGCAGTCTAAGAGAGGACTTTCAGAGATGGGGTGGTAATTAAAAATATCCTTAGAGAAATGGGGGTGGGGATGCAGGGAGAGACACAGTAGTCATGAATAAAAAAGAGAATGGAGACATATTAATAAGGGAAACAGCCCGGCCGGTGTGGCTTAGTGATTGAGCATCGACCCATGCACCAGGAGGTCGCCGGTTCGATTCCTGGTCAGGACACATGCCCAGGTTGTGGACCAAATCCCCAGTTGGGGGCGTGCAGGAGGCGGCCAATCGATGTTTCTATCTCTCTCTTCCTCTGTCTCTAAAAAATCAATAAAGAAAAAAATAAATAAATAAGGGAAACACGGCTGATTTGTAATAAGCTCAGAAGACCCAAAGAATTACCGTGGAGCAGGCAGCTAGGCCAGCATGGTTCCAAACAGCCTCTGATGCTTTTCAAAAGCACTTGTCTTTCTATGTAGTCAGCCTTCCCTTCATTTGTTTTCAGAAAGAGGACCTGAAAATAGAGCTTCAGCCTGCTGTGTGCATGGAAAATAAGACAAAACCAATTATCCCGAACAAAATAGGTGAGTGTGAGGTGAGGTCTGGCTTTGGGGTTTCGCCTTTCAGCGGGTGAGGGCTTGGCGCACTTCCTGTGGGTCCTAAGAGCATCAGTGCCGGGTGGGAGCTGGGCACTTTCCCTTCCCTGTGGAGTCTCCTTCTCCAGCACAGGTCCATTTGGGAAGCACTGGGTTCCTCGGTTACTCTCATAATCACAGTGCGGGAGCCAGCCGTCTGCTGGCCCAGGCTGCTCTCCAGGGAGTTTAACTGCTGGGCAGGTTCAGTTATGAATTGGCTGCTGTTCTATGGCCATTTCTCCTACCTTCCACACTTCTGGGTAGCCCAGCTCTTTTCTGGCACGTACACTTAAAACTGAGGCTTGCCCTAGCCAGTTTGGCTCAGCGGTTAGAGCGTCGGCCTGCGGTCCTGAGAGACCCGGGTTCGGTTCCCGCTAGGGGCACGTACCTCGGTTGCAGTTTGTCCCCGGCCCTGGTCGGTTGTGCGGGTGGCAGCCACTTGATGTGTTCCTTTCACATCGATGTTTCTCTCTCTCTCTCTGTTTTTCTCTGTTCCTCTCTCTCCCTCCCACTCTACCTGAACAAAAAATGGAAAAATGTCCTCGGGTGAGAATTAAAAAAAAACAAACTGAGGCTTGCCCTGGCCAGTTTGGCTCAGCAGTTAGAGTGTCGGCCTGCGGTCCCAAGAGACCTGGGTTCGGTTCCTGCTAAGGGCATGTACCTCAGTTGCAGTTTGTCCCCAGTCCTGGTTGGTCATGCAGGTGGCAGCCACTCGATGTGTCCCTTTCATGTCGATGTTTCTCTCTCTCTCTCTCTCTCTCTCTCTTTCTCTCTGTCCCTCCCACTCTACCTGAACAAAAAAATGGAAAAATGTCCTCAGGTGAGGATAAAAAAACAAAAACAAACTAAGGCTTGCCCTGGCCAGTTTGGCTCAGCGGTTAGAGCGTCAGCCCGCGGACCAGAGAGTCCCAGGTTCGGTTCCTGCTAAGGGCACGTACTTCGGTTGCAGTTTGTCCCTGGCCCTGGTTGGGGTTTTGTGGGTGGCAGCCAGTTGATGTGTCTCTCTCACATCAGTGTTTCTCTCTCTCTCTTCCCCACTTTTCCTCCCGCTCTACCTGAAGATAAATGCAAAAAAAAATGTCTTCAGGTGAGGATTTAAAAAAAACAAACAAAAAAAAACTGAGGCTTGAATATTTCATGGCAGCCAAAGTCAAAAAAGGCATACCCATCTCAGAATCACTTTCCATGTTTCTCCTTCGCTTTGTGGCTCAAGAACCTGCTACCAGACCCTGGGGACTTGTACAGTGTATGACACCAAGTCTCCTGGTTGGGTCATGAGCCCTGCTGCACATACACTGGTAATGCCACTTATCTTCCCACGTGAAAAGTGATTGCCTGGAATTCTTTTTGCAAAAGACGTTGCGTTATTGGTCAAACAGAGGATCAAATGAATTGCTGCCGTATATACATTTCCTCGGTGGCTCCATTGTTTCGGATATTTTTTGATTAACAGAATGACTTTGTGTTCTCAATCAGAAATCAATGGATTGAGCACCTGCCAGGAAGTTAACGGTGTGGAGCGGGCTGCCCCAGCGACGTTTCCCCGAGACAGTTTCTCCAGTGGGCTTAAACCAGCTGGAGGACTTGTTCATCTGGATGCCCTCGATGGCAAATCAAACAATCTGGACGACTCAACTGAAGAAGTTCAGTCAATGGACGTGAGGTAAATCGATTTCTGTTGCGTTTGCGCCTCTTCTCTTCTCCAAACACCTCCCCCTCTTCGTAGTTGATTTATTCACTTTTTACACACCCAGATCAGCTCAGGCCGGTTCAGGTGCCGTTCAGGAAAGCTCTCAGCGGTACAGTAGTGTTTTGGGTCAGGCTCCTTGGAAGCAGAGCCTGGGGTCAGGGAGTCTAGGGCCTGGGATTTGTTGGAGAGAGTTCTCAGGAGAAAGTGGAGGGAGCAGGGAACAGGATGGGGCAGGGGAAGTCACTAGGCAAGGATGCTGTCCCCATGGGAGCCGTGGAGGATGAATTTCCACCAGAGCGTGCTCTGAATGAGATATGGAAGGCGACCTTCGTGCTACTGCATCCGTCAATCATTGGCTGTGGACCACAGAGACGGGGGTGCAGGTATAATGTCTGTGGGTATGGGGTCCCGTCAGCTGCAGCCAGTTGTCCAGAAAACAGGTGGCAGCTCTGAGTCCTTAGCCACCAGCTCTCTCTGCAGCCGAGGGATGGGTGCGCCTGCAGATAAAAGGGCACCAACAGGGCCACTGTGTCTGGTGTCTCATGAGTAAGTGAACCTGTCACTGGAGACTTGATTATGGAACTAATTTGCTTTCAGATTCTAAAAAAACTTAAGGAATTCTTAAACTGGTATGTTTATGGATGACCCCCTGGCAAATTAATCCCAGATGGAAGGAGAAGTCAGTCGGCGTGAGGTTGGGGCAAGGACACCGGAACGGAGAGCCCGGGGAAAGGACTCCGAGTCGCGAGGGACCGGCAGTGTTATGCACAAGCTCTCCCAGAGCTAACCCTGCTCTCCTCGGCTGTGAATCCTCAGCTTAGTCTCGGGCAAGGGGCCTGGGCAGAGGGGCTTTCCCAGGCACGCTGACTCTAACCACCCCAGCTCGTGCACCCTGGCCTTGAGCCACATGTGTCCAGCAGCCCAGCCACCAGAAGAGCAAGTCCTGTGCGGACTGATAGCAGGGTCTCCTCGGCCCTTGCCGCCATCACCATGTCCCCTGCTACCACCGGCCACCGTCATGGCAGGCCGTCCCCCAGGGAAAACAGCTAAGACATATTGAAGGTGAACACAACATTCCCCCGCCCCCATGCTGAGCCCACTTACTCGTTACATCTCGGGATCGGGGAAGGGGGCAAGACGTGGCACTGGCCAAGGTTCAAGAAAGGGAAGGGGCTTGGTGTGTGCACTGAGTTCTCCCCGTGGCCACCGCTGCCTTTGGAGGGAGGTGATTTCTGGAGGCTGCGCCCAAGCGTGTGGCGTTGTCTACTCCCCACGCCCTGACCAGCTGTTTAAACCCAAGGAGTGAAGGTGGGGCGGGTGTTTCTGCTCAGGAGGCAGTTGGCCCCGGCTCCAGCCACCAGAAGTGGCGTTAGGTCAGCAGCTGCTCAGTATGGAGACGGATCCTCTGAGCTTCTGTAGCTCAGGGGGCTTTTCTAGATTTTTCTCTAGGAGCTTATCGAGGAAAATAAAGAACAGACCGACCTGGCAGCATCCTTACTCTGGCTGTTAAGAGAGACTCCAGGTGACAGGCCCTCGCATTGCAGTGCACCCCCCATGGTTGACGCACCCCGCCTTCATCTCTAAGGAGAGGGGAGAGCGAGCCAGGCCCACTGGGCAGGAGCTGGATAAGCCAGTGGGGTGGAGAGGAAGCCTCCCTGTAGAGAGGGAGTGGTGGGGGACATTCGCTCTGCAGGTGACAGTGGTCCCAACCTCAACTGAGCACTCACAGCAGGCGGCTGCACACGACCGCTCCCCCAGCTCGAGTACCTCCTGCACGCAGAAGCCCTGGCAGGGAGAAGTGACTGTTCGTCCCATTTTACAGCAGAGGATGAGCCCCGGGGCCAGCTAGGGCCCTTTCTCGGCTCACCTTTAACTTCCAGCATTTGTGTTCCGTCTGGGTTTCCCGTTTCGAAGGTTTGGGAAGCGCTTGGCTTCTCTGCAGTAGAGACCCGGTGCCTGTGCTGCTTACTTTCTTCCTTCCTGTGGATAGTGTGAGCTTGACCTTCACAGCCCTGCTCAGTCTCCTTCCCTCATTCTCATCCACGGGGGCCTTGTGTCTGTCAGCGTCTTAGATTGGGACTAACTTACCTTTTTTTTTCAATGTGTTACACACAAACTCTGGCTCTGAATCAGTCTTCTCTAGAAAAGAAGAGTAGTATAACAAAATATTAGAATTAATAGTTCTATCTGTCTATCTGTCTGTCTCTCTCCCTCTCCCTTTCCCCTCCTCTCTCCACCCTCCCCCCCCCCCAGTCCTGTTTCAAAAGAAGAGCTTATCTCCATCCCAGAATTTTCACCAGTGAGTGAAATGATTCCTGGGGTGTCTCTGGACCAAAATGGAACTGGTAATGCCCGAGCCCTTCAAGATATCTTAGATTTCACCGGCCCCCCCATGTTCCCCAAGAGATCCAGTGAAAATCTCAGCCTGGATGACTGTAACAAAAACCTGATCGAAGGATTTAACAGTCCCAGCCAAGAAAATACTCTGAACACCTTCTGTTGACAAATACAGCATCTCTTTAATGAAAGGTACAGTCTTTTGATGATAGTCTAAATCTGTAACTCTCCAACTGGGGTCGTGAAGGTAGGATAAACATCACTCAGCCTCCTGGATGGTCAGTTTTATCTGAAAAATGCAAACATGAATATGAATATATGGTTTATACTTCAGCACACGCAAGAATTGAAGTGGATTTCAGGTAAATCCTTCATATGGGAGCCCTCAGCACCACACCTGCCATGCCCAACCCTGCTGTTTGGGGGTGTGTGTGTGTGTGGAGAAGCACTGCCTAAAAGGTTGACCCACCACCTGTCTGAGTAGCACCTTATTTAGAAGCAGAGAGAGAATGTTCTAGTGGTGGTGCAAGGTGGTGTTAATAAAATGAACTTCTCCCCTAGTTTTTTTTTTTTTTTAATCCTCACCCAAGGACATTTTTGCATCTATCTTCAGAGAGAGTGGGAGGGAGAGAAGGAGGAAGAGAGAGAGAGAAACATCGATGCGAGAGAGACACATTGACTGCTTGCCACCATATGACCCCATCTGGGGCCGGGGACAAACTGCAACCGAGGTATGTGCCCTTAGTGGGAACCGAAAATGGGACTTTCTGGTCCACGAGCTGACGCTCTAACCACTGAGCCAAACCGGCCAGGGCTCTCCCCTAGTTTTGCTCAGTGACATCTCACAGTCCATCCAGAATCATCCCTATAAATTGATGTTAGGCCAAATGATTTCGTGTTCTGGAGTCTTCCAAAACAAACACATGTTCTTGGAGCATACCTGAGGGAGAGACAGGGGACTGAAGTTTGTGCCCTGCAGCTTTTGTTCCCCACCTTTGGCCTTTTTTCTTGCTGAAGTCCTTCTAGAAGCTCTTCTCATTTGAGTAAGTCATATCTATGGGTTCTAAACCCTCTGCATTTGTGTGCATTTAGTTATTCATACCTCACATTGGATTTACTTCAGTTTGGGGCTCATTGGTTTTTCAGTGATGAAAACATAATTTATCATCAATTTTTTTATAACTTAATAATGTCAATTTTACTCCCACTTTAGACCCTTTTAGACATTTTTATAGTCCCAGCATTCTCTCGGTCACTTTGGTTTTTCTGATGCTCCACTCTAATAACAGAACTTTGATGCCTGATAGGACTTAGTCCAATATTTCTCTTTTTCAAATGAGGAAACGGGTTGGGGAGGTCACATGCCCGAGGTCGCGCTGTTTCGTATATTTATTTCTCCCTGACCTCAGCTATTGGCGGTACAACAGCACATTTTAGAGTTCACTTCTCTTTGCCTTTGGGAAAGCAGTGGTGGTCCCTTCACACATGAGAGGGAATGTGTGACAGGTAACTTTTAGAGTAAAGACTATCCCTGGTTCGGAAGAGTAGCTGCCTTCTTGGACACTTCAAAAACAAAAACCGTTCACCAGAGCATTCTGTTTCCCTGACACACAGCTTAATATTTAGTAAAAGATTTCTTTTGTTGTTAGCGTACCTTGAACCCTTCCGTTCACTGACCTCACTATCCAGTAAGGACCAGAAAATCCACAAAACCTAGGCACCTCGAGTCTATTTCCTACATCTCTAACTAAAAGAAGTGCAAAATCCCTGTCCAAAACGAAATATATGTGTATGTATACATATATACATATATATATGTATATAATTGCATTCAATTCATATTGCTTGTATATTTTCATTTGTCTTATAGTCCAGTTCTCAAATTCTTCTCAACCAGAGGTGGTACCACCCCTGCAGGGTTGGGGGTGGGGATTGAGAATGTGTTGGGGGTTTTTGTTGTCACAATGGCTGGTGGCAGCACTGGCATTTGGAAAGCAAAGCTTGGGACTTGAAACATCCTGTAGGTTTTCAGACAGTCCCCCCCAAGACACCCACCTGAAAGAACAGTCCTACACAAACTGCTGTAGCACTTCTGTCCTGAGATACCGTGTGAGCCAAGGGAACTCAAATCACCAAGCAGGCAGCTAGTCCCACAGTGTGTGAGCATTTTCGTGAGAGGGAATAGAGGCTACAAATTGCGAAGGACTCAGTCTCTTCATTGGTCTCACCAGGGTTTGTTTGTGACTTGACACAGGTGGTGTTTCGAGAAGCCGTGAAGCTGCCGGTAGTCAGATCCGAGCTGCAGGCCCTCGGAAGAAGCTTCTGTCATCCTTAACCACTGGATTCCAAATTATTAGGTCGAAATGTAACTATATTCCTAGTTAGTATGTCCAACACTGGCCGCTCTTGGTAGAAACCTTGCGAAGTTGGCCTTGTCTGGCTTTAGCGACGTTTCATGTTAAGGTTCTATTTATGAGCTTCGGCTGCTGATGAAGTGCTTCCTGTACTACTTACTCTATTATCGTAGTGATCATCCGACACTGAGTCATCCCAGCTGGGAAATTCACCTTGTAACCTGTTCTGATTCCCAAAGTTGGAGCACTTAAACATTTAGATGTCGTGTCCTGTAAATATTCTACACATTTACCCAGACTCTACTTAAACATGTACTGAGCTTGGGCTGCATATCTCCCATCCGTGTCTAGAAGAAGAAATTCCAGAGGGGTTTCCCCTCGCTGGGGTTTCTTTGTTGAAAGTTACTATCATGAAGCCAGTTTTTTTATTACTAGGTTTAGTCACCTGCAAAATGCGTTGCACCACGTTACTCCTCGAGGAGGTAACGGAATACGTCTGGTTGAGTAAGGAAGCCATTAAACAATGTGGAATGATTTCTGCTTTCTTATGCATATTCCTATAGACATGAGCAGCTGTATCTATCTAGCAAGGACCTTCTCATGTTGTCCCTTAAAATCTCCAAGCTGCAATCACTCCAAACCATTGAGTGACTTTTGGACTGAATGAACCGTGTGTCTCATGCACTGGTGGTTGGTTTTCATGTTGTTGCTACTGGGGCTTCTGTTTGTTTGCTCCTGTGTGTGCTAAACTCAAATAAAACCAGGCACAGATGAAAATGACAGTGCTCCGAAACAGGGGGCCCTGAATGGGACTCAGTATGTCACTGTAACGGACTTCAACATAAAACATCTGAATGGAGGACAGATGACGCTAGAATGTATACTCCTCGCGTTTTATGCCATATACTGTGCTTTCTTAATTTAATTTCTTGTGAAAAGTGACTTTCAGATTACAATGACCTTTTCTTCTTGGAAACTCTTTTTTTGACTTGTACAATAAGAGTTTAGAAAGATCTATAATTCTGACTGAGGTTTGCAACCAGGAAACCAGTATCAATAGTAATCTTGTTTATGTGCTTTCAAAACCAGCTACAGTTTAAGACTTTACTAGTTATGGAAACTGTGTATGTTTGTGTATGTGTATATACTAAATAAAAGATATGCCTCCACTAAAGCATTGCCATTGATCTTCGCCATCTTTCTTACAGCTTTATTTTGCTAAGGGTGTGTTTCGTTGTGACCTGTTGTCCCTCACAGCATCATTGTGTCTGCGGTTGATGATGCCGCGTTTGCGCGATGTGTACATTGTCTTTGCTGTGAAATACATTTTCCCTCGAGCTTGATGGCGTGCTAGTGTTTTGTTTGTTTCTGTGGGCTCAATGAAGAAATCTGCTGAAAGCAAACCAGATTTTTAAAAACACACGTGAAAAAACAAAAAACACTAAAATCCTGTGTGGCTGTCCTTTTCCTGTCAAACACATTAAAATTCCTCCTTTGTCAGTTCCAAGTAAAGCCAACTGTGGAAATAAGCTTAAGTGATGAGCTGCCCTAGCACATGATGAACTTCTAAGTACAGTCAAGTTGCTGTCCTTTCAGATCACCGACGGGAGGGATTTCTAGATAGCTAAAATGCAGTTAACCTTACTGTAACCTGTGAAAACATTCTACATAACTATCTGGCGTTTAAACGAAATGATAATGGAGTGGTGACACTTCATTTGCCGGTAAGCTGAAACCCAGACCAACATTTTTGTATCTAATTCATGGCGTGCCTGCAGCCTGGGAGATAGTACCGGCCAGGATCAGGAGCCAGGGAGGCAGTGGGGTGGAGATGTTGGAACCCGCACGGTAACTTCTGGGCTGCAATCTCCAAAGCTGGGACCCAGTCACCGCAGCCCTCCCCGGCTCTGCTGACAAAGGCTTTGGTGAGGGCACAAGAGCGGACACCCTAACTCTTTCCATATGCTGGCCTTTGACAGTGGCATTACAAGTAGCTTCTGTCATCATGAGCTCTGGCCAGAGGGTCACAGTTACTCCTAAGAGCAATTTCTATTTTGTGAACATTCTAAATTTTTCTTAGTATGTACAGATTTCCTATTAGCAAATGTCTCTGTAAACTAAATTTAGAAAGCAAATGTGTAGCCCGGCCGGTGTGGCTCAGTGGTTGAACATCGACCCATGGACCAAGAGGTCACCAGCTAGATTCCTGGTCAGGGCACATGCCCAGGTTGTGGGCCTGATCCCGGGGTGGGGGCATGCAGGAGGCGGCTAATCGATGTTTTCTCTCATCGATGTTTCTATCTATCCCTCTCACTTCCTCTCTCTCTAAAATTAAGAAAAAGAAAGAAAGCAAATGTATAGAACTAATTTGTTTCTAGAGGTATACCCATCTCCACTCCACTGCCTCCCTGGCTCCTGATCCTGGCTGGTACTATCTCCCGGGCTGCAGGCACGCCATGAATTAGATACAAAAATGTTGGTCTGGGTTTCAGCTTATTGGAAAATAAAGTGTCGCCACTCCACTGGGGCACACTACAGGGTGATCTCTCTCCCCACTCTGCAGCATCGTTCAGGAAGCACAATTATATAAGAAAATGGAGCTAGAACTCTTAGAAACATTAGAAAAGAGAAGTCTCTTTTGGGGTAAACCACTAAAAAACTCTTAGAATAATTTCACAGGGGAGCCAACTACTAAATAAAGAGAAATTGATAGTTTTCCTACACATTAACAATAAATAGGAAGTAAATCCCAACAAAGCCCATGTAATTCCTAGAGTTAACAAGCTATGTCTAAAACTTGATTGCAGGCCCAGCTGGTGTGGCTCAGTGGTTGAGCGTCGATCCATGCACCAAGAAGTCGCCGGTTCGATTCCCAGTCAGGGCACATGCCCAGGTTGTGGGCCTGATCCCCAGTGTGGGGCGTGCAGGTGGCAGCCAATCTATGTTTTCTCTCATCGATGTTTCTATCTCTCTCTCCCTCTCCCTTCCTCTCTAAAATCAGTAAATAAAAAAAAAAAAAGAACATTTTAAACTTGACGGCAGTACACTAACATAGACATAAATGGAAAGACAAGCCATGTCCCCAAATGGGAAAACCTGTGCTTGTGAATAAGACAAATAGTAGGTGGACCTCACATTTGTGCAGCATTTGTAAATGAAGTTCCAATCAATGGGATTTCTTTTTTGCAACTTGAAAGTGTAATTTTGCAGTTCATGTAAGAAAATAAACACACTCTTTCTGCCATCTTGGAGCCGGTGGAGGCTGCTGGGAACAGGACTTCTATGAGGACAAATACGTGTGGAAGGCTGTGGTCCAAGGCCATTTTGCCGGCTATAAGCAGGGTCTCTGGAACCAGAGAGAGCACACAGCTCTTCTTAAAATTGATAGTGTTTATGCTCAGGATGAAATTCTATCTAGGCAAGAGATGTGCTTATGTGTGCACAGCACAGAACAACACAACTCATGGAAATGGTGGAATGCCAAATACCCAATCAACCTTTTTGCTAAGGCCACCGGACCCAGAATCTGTGTGATGTTGTACCCCTCAAGGATTTAAACTTACTGAAAACTAAATACTATTGATTTGTTCTCTTGTAAAGAAAAGAAAGAACACAAAGCTAAGAAACATGAGTGTTTTAAAGAGAATTTTGAAAAGTTTTAAAAAGGGAGAATTTCCCCCCAACAGATAGTAAACTATATGATTAAACTTTGAAAACTAAAGCAGTTAATCTCATAGAGAAATAGACAAAATTTGGAATAAAACTAGAAATCAGCAATGTATCCAAGATTTGAAAGACGTTAAGGCATGATGGGCGGGGGTTGGAACATTTGTTCCTGTAAAGAGAACATGCAGTTCAGTGTCTCCTGAGGGAGGGAGTGTAGCATCTCTGGAGTGGAGTAAGGGCCGAGAAGGCAGTGAGGAAGTAATAGGAGGATCCAAGGTGTGGGAACAAATTACGATTCAAAGTTTAAGTCGGGAAAATTTAGATACAAGGTACCAACCTTCACAGATCCTAAATTGATGCCCCTCTCCCCAGATGTGCTGAGGAGGTGAGAAGCAGTCTCTACAACCCTTAACAGTCGGCAGGTCCTGAGTGTCTTCTGTATGCGAGATGGTCCTAAGACTTCTCCAGACTAATGGGGTAGGTAGAAGAGGGTTACGTCCCTGAGGGCACTGAGCTGGGGTTGACTCCAGGGCCCTAGCTTTCGTTCCCCCTGAGCTGATAGGCAGGGGCAGAGAAGTATTTTGCTAGAGCAGGTGCTTATGCCCAAGAAGGGTCCAAACCCTCCTGGGGAATCCTAGTTTTGAGTGTGCTTTTATATGGAAAAAAAAAAAAAAAAAGATGTATCATTCACATACCATAAAATTCCCCCTTTTATTTTTTATTTTTATTTAAAATTTTTCTTCTTTATTGATTTTAGAGAGAGAGGAAAGGAGAGGGACAGAGGGATAGAAACATCGAGAGAGAGAACATTGACTGGCCGCCTCCTGCATGCCCCCCACTGGGGATCAGGCCCACAACCTGGGCATGTGCCCTGACCAGGAATCGAACCGGCTGGCTACCTCTTGGTGCATGGGTCAATGCTCAACCAGTGAGCCACACCAGCCAGGCAAAATTCCCCCCTTTATTTTTTTTTATTAATTTATTTTTGTTACAGATGTTTCGCCTTTTCCCCCCATTGACACCCTCCTCCCCATACCCCAAAATTTGCCCCTTTAAAGTATACATTTCTGCCCTGATCAGTTTGGCTCAGTGGGTAGAACATCAGCCCTCGGACCAATGAATCGCAGGTTCAATTCCCAGTCTAGGGTACATACCTCGGCTGCGGTTTGTCCCCAGCCCTGGTCAGGGTCGTGGGGGAGGCAACCAGTCGATGTGGCTCTATCACGTCAATGTTTCTCTCTGTCTTTCTCTCTCCCTCCCTCCCACTCTATCTGATGATTAAGAAAAATAATAAAGTACACATTTCCATCTTTTCATTTATTTACAAAGTTGTGCAACCATCACCACTATCTAATTCTAGAACATTATCATCTGAGTGTGCTTTTGCAAACATTTCTTATCCATCTGTCTACTCAAAGCAGCAGAGCTTGGCTTTATGACTAGTTCAAGTTCCCACTGTACCTGGAAGCAAGAACATGGGATTTGAAAATGGTATTCCCTGAACCAGTGATATCCCCCTTTCCTCCTTCCAGTAGTTCAAATAGAGCGTGAGGGAGACAGGAGGGAAGAGAGAGAGAGAGAGAGACATCGACGTGAGGGGGACACATTGAGTAGTCGCCACCCACACAATCCAAACCAGGGCCGGGGATAAACCGCAACCGAGGCATGTGCCCTCAGTAGGAACCGAACCCAGGACTCTCTGGTCTGCAGGCCAACGCTCTAACAGCTGAGCCAAACTGGCCAGGGCTGTCCTTGTCTTTTAATCACATTTTCCTAGTGGTACGTAGGCTCATCTTTGAAACAAACAGAAATTGGTCAACAAAAAGTGATAGCTGGGAGGGGCCCAGGTCATCCACAGCAGACATGCCGAGAGCTTACTGGATTGGAGCATGCAGTCCCCATGGTGCGACTCAAAGGCTGTTTTAGAACAAGAGCTGGATCCTACTGGTACCACCAAGAGGAAAGAATAAATTCCATTTTCTCAGTGGACCTGGCCTTCAGAAGTGTTCTCAGGGGGCCACCCCTGTGCAGTGACAGCACTGATAGCTGGTGTGAGATGTTCAGTGTTCACCAATGGTAAGAAATTACCCAGAATGTGGAAATGAGGCCAAAAGATGGCTATGCACTCTTTCAAAGCCCTGCTGGATTATGGTCTCACTGAGGCAGCCTAAGGGGCTGCTGAGTTTCAGGGGATGTGACTTCCTATGGCGGACCGTGTGCTATTGACCAGGACCCAGTCTCTGGAGTTCTTCACTTCAGACAGAAAGTTGCAGATGGCTTTGTCCTGGAGAAAAGCTAACTCCAAAGGTTATGTCTGTCTGTCTCTGTAGGGCACTAAACAATTTAGCATCTAACTTTGCAATCTTATTCCAGCATGTCCCCCCACTAAAGATATGTATGTGTTGCTGCATGTGTAATATCCGTGTGTATGTGTGTTGCTCTATGTA